GCCCAGAAAGTAGGGCCGCAGCTTCGCGTAGGCCGCGACGCTCGACGGCGACAGGCCGTAGAAGGACCGGAGGTGGAGCTGGCACTCGCAGTTGTGCCAGACGTCGACGTCCGGGTCGTCGCTCGGGACCTTGACGCGCACGGTGTAGAGCGCGTCGCGGTAGCCGTTCCAGCGCGGGGCGTGGAAGTAGTTCTTGAGGCGCACGATGGACACGGCGCACGTCGACGCCAGAGAGGCGAAGCCGATGCCGGCGATGACGAGCTCGATCTCGGAGTCGCAGACGATGGAGCAGCGGACGACGTCGTTGATCTTGCAGTTCATGCCGTCGTACCGGCCCCGCACCTTGGCCTCGGCGCGCTCCCGCGTCTTCAACGGCGCCATGACGAGCTCCGCGTTCGCGGATCCCGCGAGCATCTTCATCTCGCCGTGGAACGTGTCGTAGGCCGCCTCGGCCGCGGCGAAGACGTCGTCGAGGGTCATGGCGAGGGGGTTCTTGCCGTGCAGGTCCTGCTGGCGCGCCGTGTGCTCGAAGGTCGCGAACTTGGCCGCGTAGTTCTTCGGGTCGTCGCGTTTCGCCATATGCTCGAGCCGCCGCTTCGTGTTCAGCGTCTCCTCGACCATGTCGAAGAAGGCGCGCGCCGTCTCGCCGATGCGCACCGCGCCCTTGCTGTTCGAGAAGGCGCTCTGGAGGGCCCCCATCTTCGACGCGTCGTACTCGTGGCGCGCGCGCGTCGGCGCCGCCGGCGCCGCCTCCTCGCCGGCCTCCTCGTCCGCCGGGGCGCCCAGCTCCGGCGCCGAGCTCGACGCCAGCAGCCGCGCGGCGTCGAGGCCGCCGCCCGCCGCCGCGACGTCCGCCATGGCTCCCGGCGGCGCGCGACGACGAGAAGGCGCCCCCCCACGAAGAGAGAGAAGCTCCCCGCGAGGGTTCCATTTGCACCCAAGCCTCAACTATTGTCACATCGTCTCGCCTTGGTGCGTCGTCGCTGGCCCGCCGTTCCGCGCCGTGCGACCGCGCCAGAACCATTCCGTGGATCCCCGGGCCGCGCGGCGACGCACATCCGCGCCGCCGTTCCGCGACCATGCTCGAGTGCCTGACGCTGCCGTGCTTCTTCGACAGCGCCGCGGACATGAGCCTGGTCGCGCGGCCCCTCTGCGTCTACGCGCAGTGGATTTTGAGCGCCGGGTCGACGAGCGCGGAGACGACCGTGGACCCGACGACGCTGCCGCGCATGCTCCGGTGCCACCTCGTGCTCCTCATCCTCGTGACCATCGTCATGCTCTTCGAGCACCTCGTCGAGGGCGTCGTCGACGTGCCGGCGTTCGCCATCTCCGCGGTGCAGCTCCTCTGCGCGTCGGGCGCGCTCGCGGTGCTCAACGCGCCGCGGCGGAACGCCGCGGGGCTCGCGAACCGGCGGTCCGCGCTGCTGGGCTGCTTCCAGCACGCGTCGAACGTCTGCCTCATCGTCGACGTCGTCTTCTCGGCCGTCTGCGTCGTCGGCGGCCACACGGAGAACGTCGTGAGCGTCGACCTCGCGGTCAAGGTCGCCCTCTTCCTCTTCGTGACGTCGCTGCCCTTCTTCGCGCTCGACCGCGAGCTCGCGGTCGGCCGGTCGGAGCTCACGTTCGTCTGGAAGATCTGGACGATCGAGGCCGTCGACTTCTGCACGATCCTGTACGGCGCCATCGACTACGCGCAGCAGGAGCGGAGCGACGGCGAGAAGGACCTCGACGCCTGGAACCGGGAGCACGCCATCCCCGCGGGCGAGCCGCCCGCGAACTGGGACTGGGACGACTTCTGGCTCGACTGGTCGCCCGCGCTCCAGGTCTACGTCGCCGCCTTCGCGCTCAACGCCGTGCTCTTCGGCTGCCTCGCGTCCTGGATTTTAGTGCGCGCGCTCACCAAGGCCGACGACGAGCCGACGGTCGAGCGCGGCGGCTACATGTTCGTCGCGACCTACGTCTTCATCCTCGACGCGTTCACGGACCTGCCCGCGCGGCTCGGGGCCGCAAAAAGGGTGATTCGGCGTCGCTGCGACGCGCGCGTGCCGCGCGCGCGCGTTCCGGGAAACACGTCCGCGCGTCGAGGGCGCTTCGAGAGACGATCGCTCGTCCGAGCATCAGCCGAAACGAGTGGAAACCGGCCGAGATGGGAGTTTTTTGACGTTGGGAATGTCGCACCCTCGTGCCGCCCAGGTGTGGCTCGCGTCGCTCGTCACGCGCGCCTACGTCCACAACATCTACCTCACCTTCAACGTCATCGTCAACCTCCTCGCGCTCGTCCGCGGCGTCTACATCTGCCTCGTCGCCTGCCTCCTGCCGCCGGGCAGCCTGTCCGCCGACGCGCCGGAGACGCAGCTGACGCGCTACGGCGCCGACGGCGCGGGCGCCTACAACCCGGTCCGGCGGCAGCAGCCGGACCGGCGCGCGCTCCCGGAGGCGCCATGATTTTCTTCGTCGGCGGACCCTGCCCCCCCTTCCAGAACGCGAGGCGCGCCGCCTGCAGCGTAGCACCCACCGGCGCCCTAAGCCCGGAATTCGAACCACTTGCGTGCTACCCCGGGCTTCCTCGAGGGCGAGGTCCTCAGCGACGTCGAGCTCCAGCGGCACGAGCTCGCGCGGCCCGACGACGTGCCCATCAACTTCGTGCGGTCGCTGTCTATCCAAGTTGACGTTCGCCCCTTATGCTTGGGGGAACGCGCGCGCGAACACTCGCGGGCCGACTCGTCGCGACGTCGGTCGCGGGGGCTCGCGCGCGCGCGTGCAAATGGTGCCTGGTCCTACGTCGTGGCGTCCGAGGACTTGTCCGAGGTGTGCGAAGCCCGCCGGCGGCATTCTACTGCTTTGCTCCTAGGACGCGGCGTCCGCGGCGTCCGCGGCGTCCGCGGCGTCCGCGGCGTCCGCGGCGTCGCGGGCCGTCTTCGCGTCCGCGGCGAGCGCGGCGAGGTCCGCCGCGGAGAGCGCGAGGTGCTCCGGGTCCTCCGCGGTGCCCTCGAGGAGCCCCGGCCGGACGAAGAGGACGTAGAGCGCGACGACGGGCAGGTAGCCGTAGTGGAAGCCGTCGAAGTCCGCGACCTCGTCGCCCGCGTTCGTCGCGCAGGCGCCGCGGCGCGAGAGCTCCGCGAGCGTCGACGCGCCCGTCGCGTCCTTGATGGCCCCGAGGCCCTTGTCGAGGACGGCGACGATCTCGTCGTCCGCGTCGAGGACGAGGTCGTCGCCGCCCATGTCGTTGGCCTCGACGCGGCCGAGGTACGCGTCGTGCGCGTCGCCGCACTCGAGCGAGTCCGCGTCCACGCGGCCGAGCAGCGCGCCGCTGCCGTCGTAGCACTCGCCGAGCGCGCCGACGTAGCCGAGGTAGCCCGCGGCGTCGCC